TGCCTTGGAGATGAGTCCGACTTGGGCCAATCAAATCATGGCATTTGGGAAATACTATATTCTGATTGGTGAAGCGGCGTCCTCAGGGGGTACAGGGTGGTCTGGTTACTTTACACCAATCGGATTATAAGTTATGAAAGTACTGAGTTCTGATTGGTCAAAAGACCTTCGCGTTCCCGCAAGTGGGGCGAGTCAGAGTTCTGTATAATTTTAATTCTTTGTGTTCACGAATAGGAAACGTATTCCCTTTCAAAAGCATAAATTTCCTATTCAGCATAAAACCAGCACAAAGCAGCCTAAGCTTGGGGATTCTCCTTGACCAAGTGCCGAAAACTAAAAAGCAAAAAGAACCATCGCGCGGGCGGAGGGGGCAGCGGCCGGGGGGACTTTCGGTCTTCGTGAGATTTTATTCGTGTGGAGCGGACACGTTTCGTGCCTCAAGGCCTAAATGTGAGTACTTCTGCCTCGTTCTAGGTCTAAGAAACTTGACATATAAAGACAGTTGTTTTCGTCTTATTTGTTGTTAGTTGTTAACGTATAATACTGGCTGTTATAAAGACAAGTGGGGAAGTAAATGTGTTACATTGTCAACATAAACACGTGGGATGTGCGAGGTTTGTTTGGGGTTTCAGGATTTGCCCAGTTATTTTCTTTTAGGAAATGACAGGCCGAGTGGCTTTTTTTACTTATCCTGTATACTGTAGCTGGACGTAGTGCTGCTTGTAAATTGGGGTAAATGGAACTATCTTCCACCGCGATATTTGAACATTTAATACCGGCGAATGTTGTTACTTAGACTATAATCAGTTAAGCCAGTCCTGTGCAGCACACGGTTTCCTTGTGAGCATGAGAACAGAGTAATATTAAGTAATGTTACCGACGCACAGATAGGGGGAACTGCCTTCTTAAAGAGCATCAGAACCGGAGTAATAAAGAAAGGCACAGCTGCAGCGACCTCAAAGTTAGGAAGTTCATCCCTGTAGTGGACAAATACCAACATGGGTACAGCTGCTCTGACCTCCTATTTACCCTGGGCATTTGTCATGGAGAGCAACTCAACCTCCAGAGACGGTCCCAAAACAAGGGTATCATGTGAACCCAAAATCCAAACTTCAGTAATTTTTTAGTTTCACACAGCCATTCAATCCTCCATTTTTTATTCCTCTTTACAATTATCCACACTGTAATATGCATGAAACTCTTATTTCCCATTGCTAATGATATAAATAAAAGTATTGGTAATGTTTATGGAGTGCCTTACCCCTCTGAGATTAAGCCCTTTTACTCCTACCATTTCTGCTAAATCCATAAACATCACTGACATCACTAGACACCCATCTGATCACCGTACTTCCCTATTTGGGGCTCTGCCCCTGGACCCCCACCCAGTTGTGTAGATAGCCTCCATGGCATGTATTGCAACCTGTTTTCTTAATTTTTGACAGTTTTCCGACCCAGGTTATAGAATGTTTTTGTGAGTTTATTTCTTTGATTATTATAGTGCCATTACATTTTTCTGTAAATGTATACCAAAGTATGACATGTTGCACAACTTTATTATCAACTTGCTAAGGGAATATCATAGATGAAGTCTTTTTTTCAGCCATACTGTCCATTAAAGGTAAATATTACCTTGTACTGCTTGGCTGTGGGAAACCAAAATTATACCCTATCTTCTATCTTTTCCCTATGCATGGGCCCTTAACCTCTTGGTGACGGGTTAAGCAAACTAAAAAAAAAAAAAAAACTATGCTCTGGCCATCAATGGCAGCGCAGTTTGGTACATCAAGCCGAATCACCAGCTTGCCGTGCTGTACAGCCGCTCACGACGTTTCGAGTGGCTTGTTTTCATGCCAGTAGGCGTGCAGATATTTTCATTGTTTCACAGTAAATATGAGACCGGAGCAGCTGTACCTGTTATTACTCTACTACTAATGCTGTATAAGATTGCAGTGTATCTAATTTATGGTTAAATTTTAGGATATGGACACACTAAGCTAAGGCAAATAAAATTTTTTGATTATGACTATTGGATCTGCCCGAACAATATTTATACCATCAGAATTATTCTCGTGATATAAATCTGATGATCATTTCCTTTTTAATACATGAAAATGTATCAAGTATATTAATTGAATAAACAGCCATTGGGAATTACAAAATCATTCTCACAAGTGTGTAATATTACATTAACTACTTGACGGATCGCAGTAACGAGTCATTTTTTATCCTTATAGGGTATAAACAATGGAGCCTTTGACAATTTTCTAATTAACCCATTTGTGGTGGGGGAAATTAACAAAAAAAATGGGGAAAAAGCTGTGCTCCTTTTATTTTTTGTGAAATGTCTCTACACGTAGATGGCTCTGCCTTACCTGATTTCACCTTTACTTGAATTGGCAGGAAAATGTATATTTTGTTAGTGCTATGAATATCAATGGTTATTTTTATTATAAACATTAGTAACAGCAAAATAGGATAATGTTAAATATTTTCATAAATTAAAGAAAAGGGTAAACGGGCGAGACAGGCAGTACTCGTAACTGGCTCATTAGTGTTTTAGTGCGTGTAGCCATGTGTAAAAGCAATTAAACAAGTAAACTCGGTTAATTTTCCAAGAATGACAATTGGGTCTTCCCTGACAATATTTATATCAGATTTGTTCTCGTGTGATTAGAACGAATCTGAGGTCAATATGTAGTATAAGGTAGTGACAGAGTTGGGTAATAAAACCTACATGAAATGATAGAACAATACAAACCAAGACAAAGTTCTTCTATGGCAGTGTATGTGCAAATGCTTCCCAAGGGTGCTATACGTAAAAGAAAAGAGATCCCCTTCGGTCAGTATGTAGAAGAGGGTAGTGGGTTACCTTCAAAACAATTAATATTTTTCTGCATGAAATCCAGTGCTTTCAACAATTCTAGGCATTGTTCCTTGTGCAAATGAATCGTTGAGGAGATATGATCACCATCTCCATTGACAATCTTAATTTGATAATTCCAATAGCAGAGGAGGGCATGAAGTATATCAAGTTGTTAAAGAAAATGTCCAAACCCAACATCCAACCTATCCTAACACCCTGGTATATATTCCCTAGTGGATCCCCATGGTTAAACGACACAACTTTATATAGCGAAAACCGAACTTTTCTGCACTTCCATCTATGGTCAGAATTGCTTGGTTCCTAATCACTTTTTTCAGCATTTGGTGTTACTGGTTTCAATTTTTATCAATTGTTATGGAAAACCACAAGAGGTTCACGCACATTACACTGTAAATAATTGAAACCAGGATCAGTAATGGCAGGGTTGGATTGCTGTGTGACCCAAGCTGTGAGCAATGTTGTCTTTGATCTTTCTCCTTTCTTATCTGAATAACCTATTTTTTGTCTTGTACAATAAGTCTTCAATTTGCCCTAGGTTAGTGCATCCAAATCATTGATTAAATGTTAAATTATTAACATACCTACTTTGGAAAACTACAAGGGCAAACACATCAGCCTATAGTAAAGTAGCTCCAACCCCTGAACCCCTGTTGTCGAAATGTCCAAATATGTCCTATTGCTTGGTCATTAACCCAATGATGCCAGGTGTACACAAAAAAAAAAGTACGGTCTAGCAAACAAAGGCTCGCCGCGCTTTGGCGCGCCACCGGCTCATTTGGCTGCACACCAGCTTTCGAGCGGTTTGTTTACATGCCTATCGGCATCACCCGGCACCAAGGGGTTAAACAATACTTCTAACCCTACACTAACCTAACTGCCTAACTAGAGGGCACCACCCTGTGGTAAATGACCCAAAGCAGATGGAGGATGCAACTTGCAGCAAACAGAAGCTCAGCATGTTTTTTGTATTAAGGACAGAATATTGACTGACTTTGTTACTATATAGTATTAAAAATTGCCTGTTATTTGCCCATTGGGCCAGGACAATGTGACATTCACTTCACAAGGAAATTCAGGTGTAAAATATTTCGTAAATCAAAGTAAAGGGTAAACGGGCGAGACGGGCAGTACTCGTAACTGGCTCATTGGGGAGTTAGTACAAGTGTTGCCATCTATGCATAAAAACAATCAAACAAGTACTCACGGTGGGCATAGCACATACATACACGTCATACCCGGCGGCATTGGGCTAAAGATTTGGCTGAAGGCCAGGGTGATAGAAATGGGATATTGTTGCCTAGTGATGGGATATGGAAGTCACTAAATGCACAAAACTGTTGAAAGATTACTCAATGAGCATTTAGGAAGGGTATCTTGTATTACTTTTACTGGTAAGAGAGTAGATTGTACCATCTGTAAATCTTGCCTGGAAGAGCACCTACTCAAGGGAGGACACTTATTTTCCATGCTCTAGACCTTATTCTTGCTCACCATAACAATGATACTACATATCCATTGCTACTCAGGTAAGCCTAATTCACATTTTGGACCATGTGCAGGCTGCAAGACACCTGCATCCTTTTCTGCAAGACTAAACCAAATATTTTGTCTCCCAGCACTCAAAAGTCCAGGCAGAGAATATGACTAAAGAATTAATACTTCTAATTTTTTCAGTAATATATTTTAGAATCTATCAAATACATTAGACATGGGCTGACTGTTATCTTTAATAGGTGTAAATCCTTTAATTTCCAGAATGCGTTACGTTGCTGCTTACTGTCTTGCTGCCCTTGGAGGCAAAACTGCCTCGGCCAAGGATATTGAGAAGATCCTTGACTCAGTAGGTGTTGATTGTGATGCTGATGAGGCCAAGAAAGTTGTATCTGAACTCGAAGGGAAGGACCTCAAGGCTGTAATTGCTGAAGGTGTGTACAGTGTTTATTTGCAGTTTCAGTTTATTCATTTATTTTGGGTAAAATCTTTTACCAAAGGAATCTTATTGTTTCTTTAATCTTCAAATATTTTTAGGTATGGGGAAACTTGGATCCATGCCTGCTGGTGGTGGTGGTGCCCCTGCTGCAGGTGGTGCTGCTCCTGCTGCAGCTGCAGCTGA